ACTTCAAGCCATTCAACTTTGATTTAGAACATTTTTTTCTATCTCTCATAGTTTCGACGATATTCATGTCGAAAGAAAAAAACCGATTTTTTTCAAGGGGTGATTTCATCCCTTCAAAACGGAATAGAACATCAACAAAAAGTAGTTTCGTACTAACGGATGAACTACTCTACTTTTACACAAAGTTTCAGATTTTTCTGAATTTTCGGGTTTCCTAACTTTCCTTGTGAGTGACGCGCGAGAAAAATTTATATGTATGTTTTGTATCGCTTATTTAAAATCAGATCGAATCAGATCTGATCGAATCAGATTAAAGCCGAAATTAAAATATATGTAGAAGACCAACAACTTTTTCATTTGACACTGAGAAGGTTATTATACAAAGAGAAAACTCGATTACTAGAGATTATAAACCATTTATTGGCACGGGGAATCATATGCCCCGGAAACTCCGAATATGCGTTTAGAATAGCATTAATAAAAAAAAGACGTAAAAGACGCGTTTATGGATAGATTATCAGACGCTGAATAAAATTACGGCCAGGAATAATTATTCGCTTCCGGTAAATGAAGAGCAAATTGACGCGTACGGAAAACATTATTTTTCGCTACTTAATTTAAAGAATGGTTTTCTCGTATTGTTAATATTATATGGAAATATTGGATTTAATATTCAAACTGTCTTCTTGCTATTTTTTTATAACACTTAACTTATTTATTGTTACATAAAACAAATATTATAACATTGATAAATATTGATTGCTTAACTACATATTTTAGTGTTTCTTGTTATATGTGTATGTATATTACTATAGAATACTTGTTAAAACTTTTTTCAAAAATGTATATATATAGTATATTAACCAAATTCCAACAAATATTTTAAATTAAGCAATAACAGATAAAATCTTATCATTTAATGAATTTAGATAGATCTAACTTATATCATAACCTATCTATATTTACTTAATTATAATATTCACAGATATGTGCATTTTTATTGTTTCGGTATTTTTATAAATGCATAATATGCATAAAAATTTTTTTAATTTTTGCAATTTTTATTAGATTTGATATTAAATTCTTGGAATATGAATTGTCTTTAAATGTTTATTTACATTTTGTGGCGATTAATAAATTTTACACGAAGCGGATCAATAGGGCGATGTATTAAATCAGTCTGCACTCGAATATTCTTTAAGTAATCAACAGGCTCCAAATAGAAATTATGAATCAAAGGGGCTATCATCGCCTTCATCTCCAGCAAAGCAAATCGTTGACCTACAATTTGTTATGTATCACAATCTGTTTATATAAATATAAAAGAATATCAATAAACAATTTACCAATGCAATTACGTGGTCCAGCACTGAATGGTAAATACGAATAAGGATGACGATTTCGGATCTTCTCAGGCAAAAATCTATCTGGATCATATATCTCTGGATTTGGCCAAAAATTGGGATCTCTATGAACTCCGTAGATATTAAGATGAATTATTGTTTTAACAGGTATTGAATACGATTCTGAAAAGTATTTTATAAAAAAACAATATACAAATAAAGCAATAACAATCAAAAGCTTTATTAAAATTAGAAAAATAAACACTTATTTGATGCAACACAAAATAAATATGTACAATTAACAGAATAGAAAAGTTAATGCGGTAATATCAATTTATTTGAAAAAATATAAGAATAATTTTTTTTAAATTATTTTATATTATTGATGTTTAATTAACTTTAAATAATTAGTTCTGAGAATGTTGCTTTAAGCTTGTCACATTTATCAAATAAGAGAAACATGTACTTCTAAAATAAAAACATTTTATCTTATAACATTTGTATTGTACAACGTATGTAACATTTGACATGTGTTATAATTAAAAAATACATATATTAACAGATTGATTAGTTACGTACTTAATTGAACGTGTTCCGAAGTAATTCGTGATATGAAGTGTACACTGGGATACAAACGCAACGCTTCTTTTATACATCTCTCTAAATATTGCAGTTCTTGCAGCGATTTTATGGTAAGTTTTCCTTGATTCTCTTGTATAACAACATCAATTTCTTCTCTGACACGATCCTGTATTATCAATGTTAATTGAGTATTTTTTATTATTCTGATGTGTTTCACGTTGTACAGAAATAGATTCGTACAATTTTTATATTTATTTGAAAGTTTTGATTAATTTTTTTTAAATATGTATACAAATTATATATTTGAAATGTGCAATATATATTTAAATATTTGGATAAGTATGTGAAGACACGTTGTATTTCCAATGTTTAAAACATAAATATAAAATGTATGAAAGACATGCATATATGTACATACGTACGTCTGCAAAACAACATAACATTTGTTTAATACATTTTTGTTTAGGAACATTATTTATAGTTTTCTAGTCTTTTTCTAGTTATTCTTTTTTCTTTTCACAATGCTCCTTTAATTAAACAAACAAATACCTGAATGTCTTTGTGTTCCGCCAATAGTGCTAAAGCAA